TAGATTACATACGACCAATCAAATGTTGGAGTGTTTGAATTTGTTGCTCAAATGCAAGGAATAATATATCTCAATGGTAAATAATTAATAGTTTTTATTGTTTATAATCTTAATATTTTTATTTATCTAATGAAAATGACAAACTGTAACACAAAATTCTGTTTATCTAATTGGTTTGTATCATTAATTTTAAACTTTTATACTAAACACTTGGTTTTTTATTTTTTTTGGTGAAAAGAGAGATGCATTAAAATAGATAACAAAACATACAACTAGTTTTTAGGAAATTCAACTCCAATCACATAAGCAATAATATCCCTACCAACCAAACATGTCGATTTTGATGAAAGGTACTTTATTTTTCTAAAATAAAAATTTTAATTTCAAATTTAATAAATAAATAAATAAATTTCTTATAAATATGACACGATTTGATTTGGTTTAAGTACTATTTTGGTCCCTCAACTTTAAAAAGTATCAAAATTATCCTCAAACTTTCATTTTCGATACCAAAATGGTTCTTCCATAAGTTAAATGATAGGTGACATGTTAAAATGCCAGCAAATCAATTCTTCTTTTTTTTCTTAACTAATGACATGGAAAAAAAAACATAGTTGGCATTTTTTTTATGAGTTGGTATTTTCATTTAATTTAAAAATAATATTTTTTTTCACCCACGTCAGATTTCTTCTTCCTCTTTCATTTTCTCTCCTTTACCTTTCCTTTTCTCTTGCCTCTGCAAACCCAGGCTTTGAGTTTTCTCAAACGGCCGAGAAGCTTTAGAATGTAGGCAGTGGTTATGATCAATTCGATAGATAAGAAGAAATAGTGTGTATTTTTCATTGGGGGTTTCTTGGAAAAAATTTTAATTGTTAATTGTGATGAAACCCATATTTGGGTTTCAGACAAACCCGGATCTGGGTTTCAAACAAACTCCGTAGAACTCTGCAGCATACCAATACCAATAACAATTTAGAGTAAGACAAGAATCCAATCCTATTCTTGTGATAAAATTAATATGCACGTAAACAAGAACAATCAAACATGCCAATTCCCTAGTTACAGAAATCTAACAAATCCCACATTCTCAAATCATACTCTTAGTGGCTAGATTTAAAAAATCAAAATAAAAAATTTAAACATTTCAAATTATAAGATTAGAACGTTTACAATTAAAATCCAAAAAATAAATTTCAAACTTGTTAACAATATAAAAGAGCAAATAGTTGGAAAAGTAGAATCTCTACCTTTGATAAAAAGAAGTCTAAAAGAGTAGAATCTAAGAAGAAGGAGAATCATATAATTCTGAAGGAATTCTCAATTCCCAAAAGAAGAATGAAACCCACAAATGGAAAAACAAGATTTCGCATTAATTTTACAGTTATCTATCTACCGCAAAAGAAACGCACCAAATGAAGAAAATATCTATAGCAATCAAAACAGCTCCAAAACTAAAATAGGACAGTTTGGTGATTTCATCTTGCAAATTATAAATTTTTTTTAAAACCCAGATTTGGGTTTCAGAGAGGAAGAATAAGGAAGAAGAGAGAGAGAAACAATGATCTGAAAAGTCGTCCGTGCCATCCACCTCAAGAAGGTACTGGAATTAATCTCTCTTCAGTGGTCTCTATAGCCATTGTTGGTTCAGCAAGCCTGAGAAAACCCAGATCTCTCCTCTCCCTTCTCTTTCTGTAAACGGATATATTTAGCTTTTCTCGTCCACTGCTCCACAACCACCTCCGGTGCGAGTTCTACAACTAGGAACCATCGCTCTTCTTCCTCCACCTCTAATACTTCCGGCCGCGAAGCTGTCCACGTCATCCGCCTTAAGAAGGTACTAGTCATTAATCTCTCTTCAGTGGTCTCTACAGCCGTTGCTTTTCTCGTCCACTGCTCCACAACCACCTCCGGCGCAAGTTCTACAACTAGGAACCGTCGCTCTTCTTCCTCCACCTTTAATACTTCCGGCCACGAAGCCGTCCACGCCATCCGCCTCGAGAAGGTACTAGTCATTAATCTCTCTTCAGTGGTCTCTACAGCCGTTGCTGTTTAGTAGGCTTGAGAAAATCCAGATCTGGAGAGGAAGAAGGGAGAAGAGAGAAAGAGAAAGAATAAGAAGAAGAAAAAATGACGAGTTGATTTTGATTTTAATTTTGTAGAAGTTGTAGGTTTAGGGTTTTGAATTTGAAAAAGAAATGAAAAGAGAAACGAAAAAAACTATGATTTTTGGGGAACTTGATTGAAACTGGAAAAAGAGAAAACAAATTTTTATGTGGGCCCCACTAAAAAGAGAAACTGAGAAGATGACAATCTGATGTGTAAAAAAATGCCACGGTGACAATATTTTCTTTGCTGGATATACACATCATTAAAATTTTAAAAAGGTAGTGATTTTGTGGCATCTTAACGTGCCACTTATGCATTTAATTGATGGAAGGACCATTTTGGTACCGAAAATAAAAGTTTAAGGATAATTTTGGTACTTTTTACAGCTGAGGGATAACTTTAGTGTCAAAGTGAAAAGTTAAGGGACCAAAATGATACTTAAACCATTTGATTTTGAATTAGTTGAATTTTAACGTAATTTTTAAATAATAAAAAATTAATTAAAAAAATTAAAAAATAATAATAATAACACCCATGTGATACTCGTGATAGCGCACGCTGAAAACAACAAAATCTGAGGGTTGAGAGTGGCCCATCATGAAAAGCTGATCAGTAACAGAATAGGGAAAAATCCTGTCAAGCTCTCAAATTTATCTTAAACTTCCAATTAAGCCCCTATATTTTTATCAAAGTAAATAAGTTCTTAAACTTGATATTTAGACAATTTAACCATTTTTTCTATAGCAAACTTAAGGCTTGTTTGTACTCTGCTTGCTTGAACAAGATCAATATTTGCTATGTAGGTAATGGTATATTAATATTTTATTTATGTAAGTAAGACATAAATGAATATTAAATCGGTTATAAAAGAAAAGAATTAAATGTTCAAATTATTTAGTTTAGAAATTTATTTATTTTAATAAATGTTTAGAGATTTAATCAAGAATTTAAAATAAGTTTAGGGACTAAAACGTAGGATTTTGGCTAGAATGGAACTCAAGGGTGAGTTTCACTAATGTCATTACTAGTAAGCAAAAAGTACAATATTATTTGGCTAAAAAAGTGGCCCGAAGAGCATGGTGATGATCACCCTGCAACTCCATTTTGCCCATAAATCTTTCAGATTTAGTGCTCCACCTACTGACAATACAAGAATCTCTCTTTCTTCACGCGCATTAGGTACGTATCTAAACTAATCTTTTTTTTGCCTTAATTGTGTACATAGTGATCAAAATGATAAACATTAAATAAATAGTAAATACTAATTTGGGAAAAAGGAGAAGGCAGCCTTTGAGCACAAGAAGGGGCAGAAAAACTAGATTAATGTAATGATTTCCCATGATATCTGCTCATATTTACTATACTACTTACTAATTGTTAGGCAAAACCATGCTCCTAATTAATGAATTAGTTGTAATCAAATGATGCCCCTCCATTAACAGCTGATCACGTCTTGTAATAAAACTATATTTGTTTGTTTCTTCATCCTGCTCTTCTTCTGATTGGTTTGCCTGCAGCCTCTTTAAACACTGCACAAATTTGTTTAAGGAAGATTCCCAACCATTAGAATACAAAAATCAAACAGAAAAGACCAGACTGACTGCCACCAAAAAAGACAAGGAAGTCAAAGGATTAATTAGGACAAGAAATATATGATCAGCTCATCAATGTCTTCATAAATACAGACTGCAAGTTAATTAGGGATGTTCTGCAATAACCATTTCAAGTATCATCATTTTCTTTCCATCACTTTTCTGTGTTCTATGCATGGCTTAGGATTCAACGGGAAAAGGCCTTTTCAGTGGTGAAGAATTCGTCACTGAAGGACATAGCATGTCTTGAGATGGGTTTAGTTGGGTATCTAGACAGCAGAGAGAGGTGCAGAAACAGAAACTACATGCCTCCTTGAGCAGACAGGAAAGGGTAATAAGCAGTGCTCACTTCTCAGAATCTGTCATTTTGTTTATGGATATGGATTCTCTCCTTGTGCCATTTCTGTATATGTTTGAAGTTAATAAGTTCTTTCTGTTTGTTGCATCTTGAGATGGTTTGTCTTCAAATTTTAGGCTGGCAGTGCAAGAAACCTGATCTGCAGTAAGCCGAATGTGTCATAGTCTTGATGAATGATGGTATCTCCAATATATTAATATTGTTCATTTATATGTATCTATCCATGATAATTGAGCTCAGTATACTTGAGCTGTGTTTTATGATAATGGGTTTCGGTATTTTTTTATATTTGCAACGATTACATACTCACCCTGGAGATAATATTAAGGATTAGTCATTTTTCGAGTTGAAGATGCTTCATGAGTGTTGGTTGCTTGGTTTCAAGTTTGGTTAAAGAACATGTTATTGGAATTAGAAGCAATTGTGTTAAAAATGCTATCTGGAATTAAAAGCAATTGAGTTTAAAATGTTACCAAATATTATAATTTTTACTTGTGAAGTTTGCTCACTTCCTATGGTGGAATAAATGTATATAGTACTCAGAACTATTGCAGCTTTCTTCTTCTTCTTCTTATTCTTCTTCTTATGAAATAAACAGAATTTTTTTTGCCAAAAAAAAGAAAAAAAAAAAGAAGAAGAAGAAAGAGGCTTGTCTAGCTGCCTTATTGGAAAGACACCAGAAGTGGATGAAATGACAAAGGGTTGGCCCAATTTCAAAATCCTTTAAAGCTCATGGGCCTCTTTCTCCATCTTTTTCAAAAACCTCAAATCTAGAAGTGAGATTTCTTTCTTCTTTGTATTAGCCAAACAAAGTACTATAGTAGTTAAAACATAGTTATTTTCCTCTAGTACCAATTGAAAAAGGAAAAGAAAATAATTAGATTTTTGAAAGCTATAGGAAAAAAATAGATAAAATACCAATTAAGTCCTTTAACTTTCAAATTTATATCAAATTATCCCTTATCTTTAAATTTATCAAAATTGTACTCAAATTTTAATTTTTGGTATCAAAATAGTCCTTAAACTTTGAAGATAGTATTAATTTAGTCTTTAAACTTTGAAGATAATATTAATTTAGTCTTTAAACTTGAAGACAAGTACAAGCTTAATCTTTAAACTTTGATTACAAATATTAATTTGATTTTTCAACTTTGATTATATATCAATCAAATATAAATTATATATCAATCAAATATAAATAAAAATATATCACAATGACAAAATATGATTGTTTGATTTTATACGTCATTATTATTTTTAAAAAACTAATTTTGTGATAAAATAATAAGTTATATAATACTTTTGTTAACAAAAGAATTTTTTTCGTATTAAAAATTAAAATTTAAGAATAATTTTAATATTTTAAAAGCTAAAAGACAAATTTGATATAAATCTAAAAGTTGATAGACCAAATTAATATTTTAACAAAAAAAATGCTCACGCTTTGTTTTCCAACTACTTCTTCTATGCCAATCGCCAAGGTAAATTAGCTCAAAATTTTCGAATCCTTCAACATCAATGTGAAAAACAAATCACTAAAATACTTCTGGAATTAAGATGGGTTTGTAGTTTAAAATGAATGAGAATGAATAGAATGTGCATACCTGAATTCTTTCCTAAGTTTCATTTAGTAAAATTACTCTTTTTACAATAACCTAATATATCCCATCTAATATGTGATGTACAATAACCTAATCTAAACCCAACCCACCCAACCCACCCAACCCCTCTGCAAGATCGTGAGGTAGCACCCACCACTCTTGTATTTTCTTAGATTTCTTAACCCACCAATCCACCCTACCAATCCCAAGACCTCAACTTTTAAAACGTAATAAATCAGCCTCGTACCAAGTTGTTACTAGCGTTGCAAAACATTTAATGGACCCAAAGAGAATTCGTCAAATTGTACCTTCATAAATTTTAGTCAATAAAATATTACATATTTCAAATAAAAAAATGATAAAATTTTTTTTTATCTTATATCTTTATAGCATAGTTTAAGTATGTAATAAATATATTTTTTTATAATTAATTTATATAAAAAAAATATAAAAATTAATTTGAATTTAATTAATTAACTAATTAAAATTGTCCACTTGATATTATTACTAAAATAAAAGTTAATTTTTATTATTTTTTATATAAATTAATTATAAAAATATGTATTTATTATACTCTTAAAACATAGATGAGACAAATCCAATAACAAATAAAACTAAAAAAAGAAGGTAGATGAAAAGATATTGTCTTTAATATGGAGTGGGTCTCACATTACTGATGGTTGTGGTTTTTCATATTAATTATTCATGTTTAGTGTAATATAGTTGTGATTTATCAATGATAAGTTAGCCCCCGTTGGGAGACTCACCCACCATTTCTAAATGCGCGATGCGTATCGGGTCTGAATTAATCGGGGTGAAGCATCGGATATTGGGTGGAAAACCAAAAAAAAAAAAAAAATCAATGATAAGTTAGTTTAAGGGAAGGAAGTTTAATTTTTTTTAATTAATTTTTCGAATTTAAATTTTATAAATAAAAAAACAAGTGAGAAATATTTCCTCTTATGAAGTCCAACTTAGTTTTTGCAATTTGAATTTTTACTTTTTATATATTTAATAACTAGCATTATGTTTAAATTAAATTCAATAAATTTTAACTTTTTATAATAAATTTTAATTTTAAATACAATAATAATTACTGAAGGAAATAATTTATATAAATTTTATCTCTTAAAATAAATTAAAATCTTAATTTTAAATTACATTATTTTATTTAATTAAAACTTAATTTAAAATTTTAAAATATATTATTAAATATTAATATTTAAATTTAAAAATTGATTACATTAAAATATATAATTACTTTTTAAATCTAAATATTAATATTTAATAATATTAATTTTTAAATTTTGAATTAAAATTTCAATTTTCAAATATAAGTTAAATCCATCATTTTTTTTAGAATGAAGACTAATCCACAATAATTTCATTACTAAACATATAAAAAAAAAAAACCCGAACTCTAAACTATGCTAATCAGAGTCTTGATTCATTTGATTCCTCGTTCTTGCCTCACCAGTCGTGATTAACATGAATTCTCTTCAGACAACAACGATCAAAACCATAATATATCCTCATTCATATTATTAGTACCCACCGACACAGTTGCTAATAGTAAAGCCCTTATTTGTGATTCAAAACTCTCAACAGAACTGAGAATCTGAGAACATGCAGGCTTTGGACAAACTACCATTAGCCCACATGTCTGATCTTAGAAACCTCAATACATAAGTCTGTTCGTCTGTGAGATTATTCAGCGATGAGCTGAAATTGCGATGATTTTGATGAAACAAATTATCAGCCAAAGAAGAGAGTCAAAACAATGGAATCCACATACATGGTTTGGCAGATAGGGACCCCAAGGTAGGTCACTGATGTCACATCCAGACCAGCTTATGAACACTAGCACAAACTTGATTGCACAATGTACCTACCTAGACATGGAAGGATTCAACTTTCAACATGTAGGTAACCGAAATTTTCACGACACAGAGTATCCAATGGTTCAGCATTTGCAAAGGTGACGAAATGAAGATACTTAAACAAACAACTAGATGTAAGAGGAGCTAGAGCACAGATCTCTTTCATGGTTAACTTCTCTAATAAATCATATAATAACTAATAAGAACAATGATGTTCAGACAACAGCGCAGATAACAAAGGCATAATAAGAACAATGATGTTCAGACAACAGGACTGACAACAAGAGGATTCAAAGCAAACTACGCCAGAAGAAAAAGCCCAAAAAAAAAAAAAAAGTGAATAGGCTTATCTCGGATTTGCACAGATACTGTTCTGCATGTTCAGTCTAACCATGGTTGTACACTGAAAAATATAACAATTCCATCCCAGAGGAAAGGATGACCAATACAGACAATGTGTACTATCTCTTAGCAGTCTTCTTTTTATTCTATTCACATGCCAATTTTGTGTCAAAGCTACTTAAGCAGATTGCAAAAGCCTGGAATGCAGAGAGGGGATATCGGTAATCCATGGTAAACATATCCTTCCCTACCTTACCAAACTGCAGAATGATCTTATCATGGTCGGGTTGTGCTGGCTGTGATGGTGTTGGGCCACTGGCAGCAGGGGGAGACTGGTTAGCAGCAATCAGTTGAAAATTCTTAACAGATGCTACAGTCACCCGCCCCTTGAAGTTGAGGCACCAACACTGCAACTGCTCATGCCATCTTGGTGGCTTGTTACGGAGAATCAACGGTCTTTCCTTCCCCTCAACCTCTTCACCATGTACCCCAACTAGGTCAGAGAATCGGGAGCTGCTAAATTCAGTTGAATTATCAATTGATATTGAGGAAGAGATGCTGCGGAATGAGTCTTCAAGGGATTGAGGCAGAAGCTCCGGCTGCCCTGGGACAACACCACCTGGCTCAAGCGATGAGGCAGGAATTGAATGCATGGTGCAGTGCATCCTGCGAGGACCCCTGGTACCCAGAACATTTAGCTCATATGTGACATGAGCAATGTTGTAGCTGCCAGCAGGGACTTTTGGAGAAACTTTCTTTGAATAGAATCTACGACTTCGACCAGGTGGCGAAAGATGAGCATTGTTATATGGAGGCTGTGTGTCATAAATTATGAACTTGGTGCCTAGAAAATTTGACCTGAAATGTAGAAAACAAATTATCATGGAGTCTTTATTAGGATCTAATTCTATTTCTTTTCTCGATCTCAAACTTGCAACATTTTACATGCCATACAAAATAAAACAATAACTATCTTACTTTAAACATACAGTAGTAACATAATTTATGAAGGCACTCTCTGCCACACAAATTACCTCATTTCAGGGCAATCCTAAGAATAATCTGAACCTAAATTCTAAGCAGACCTCAGTATATATACCAAATACAAAACCTAAAGTCACAAGTTTATCAATATCTATAACTAGGAATCCTATGTCAAAAAGAGCAGATACATGCACTCCAAAAAATCAAAGAAAAAGGAAAGCCTCAAAAATGTAATTTAAAAGGAATCACTGCAATAAAGAAGCATCTGAAAATAGAAATAATAAACCAACAAGGAGTGTTACTGAGTGTCATGTCTTAAGGAACAGAAGCATAATTAACATGTTCACCACTGTCCTCAAGCTGTTCACCAAAATATATCAAGCTTAGGAAAGTGCAAGGAGCTGTAAGAGAATATCACTAGAAGCCAATTTAATTTAGGAAACTGTCTTACCTAAGCTTGCCAATGTATGTGCTGCTTGATCTTGATATGTTGTCTGCATCCATGGAGATTACATACTCTGTGCAAGTAGTTCTACGAGTCCGTTTTGCAGAAAGAAGAAATTTACCATTTTCAACAAGTAATGCTGCAAAAGAATGGCTGAGGTTAAAAGTGCAACCCTGGTCCCAACAGAATGCTAATCTTCAAACTAAAAAAATATATATCAATGCAGAAAGGGCTGTACCAATACTTTAACAATAAGATAGCATACTTGTCTCTAAGGATCATACTTACTGAAGATATAATTTGAAAAACAACTCAAATAACAAAAAGATAGGCTAGATGTGGCAGAGTTAGTGCAAGGCACACAAAACAACGGATATTTCTCCACTCCTTGGGGAAATAACAAGAGAATTAGTAACAATGTCATAAAATGCAGATGCATGTATAAAGCAGATATGACTTACTCAACTATCCTGTTAAATTTTATGCAGAGAAGGCAGCAGAAATCACTTCAAAGCAAGTTGAAGTACCCTTTTTGCTATAAACTTCCAATAATAAAGGTGATATATTTGCTTTTAAAACCTGACTTTAGTATAAAAAACAGAAACTCTAAATTCCATCAGACAAAAAACTGAAGGAATAAAACACATTCACCTCACCCTCTACCAACATAAATGTTAGTCTGAAAAACTCATTGGTTCTGTTAACCAGCACCTCAAATGGAACTAGAAAACGATGTGCTTGAAATATAGACTTTGAGAGATTAAAAGAGTCACTTACCAGGACTAAGACAAAGGAAAAGGTGATAAGTTAAATTAGATTTGTCTCTCTTAATGAAACATTGAATGCTTCCATCCCTTGGCCCAGGCTGTGATTGACAAAAAAAATTGAAAATTTTGTTAGGCACAGAGTGTCACAGAAAATTCCATCTCTAAGGAAGATACACTAGCATACATGCTTTTAGACAAAAACAAGATGATCATACAGATCAAGATGCCTAATCAATGCATTAAGTCAGTTTATTAAGTAACTATCAGCAAGGATATCTCACCTGCTTTAGGGAAACTGGAAAGGTGATTCTTCCAGAAAATTCAAGACTTCTGACAATTTCTTTGCACATTTCCCTCCATGCTCTGCACACTCCAGCACAGGCAACCACATGCTTTCGAGCAGGCCACGTACTCTCACTTGCCTCCAATCTCTTGATAACATCACGTAGAAGCTCAGGTGGAAGGCTAGCCCAACGACTAGTCTGGACTATAAGAGGCTGATCATGCAATTCAAGCACTGAACTATGAGATTTTCCCCTGTAATGACCAGGGAGCCTCACTTCAAAACTACGCCTGGATAAGTTCCCAATTGCATCCCGCACATCATTAACTATACTGCGGAACGACATTTACTCCAATACTCTTCCAGCCTCAAAAATTTAATATATCTTCAAAAACAGCTGATTGCATACATAAATTATTTCCCACTTGGGTGGCAATCACAGATCAGCACAAGCACTCACAACTGCAACTCAAAGACAAGCTAAATTTAAAACTCCTATCTTCAATACTTAATATACAAGAAAGAAAAGATGAAGAAGACAAACAGATAGGGAAAAGCACAAAGCAAGAAAGGAAGATTCTCATAAAAGAAAAGCCACACATGGACCAAAAGCACATACAATACCAAACTTTTATCAGAAAAAACTTTTAAATGATTTAAACCTAATCTCAGAAACCCAAGTTGCAATTAATTCAAATTTAAGCCCTTATTTCAGACAAAGAATCTAAGAATAAAACTTACAAAAGCTAAAGGATACATTTCCTGTTTCTAAATATAACCCAAAAAACAAAAAGACACAAAATTAACACCCAGGTGAAAACTTGGATCATAAATTTTTATTACTACATAAGTAAACAAGGCTCAAAACAAAGATTAGATAAAATCCACCAAAATCCATGGTGATATACTAACTTGAAAGCTTTACAAGAAACACAAATCGAGTGGACACCAGATTCTCATTTCCCTTTAAACCAATTTATGCTTTGTCCAGATATGCCTGCTTTTTAACTGGGTCACGACCTTGGTGCTAGTCCCCCTACCTCCACTCCCAACTTTCTTTATTCCTAATTACGTTAAAAATTAAGAACATAAAAGGTTTCACATTTCAGTTACAATCTCACCTTCAAATCACAATAAGTGGCGAAATTCAACCAAGCAGTGGTAGGTGATCCATTATTTCACAGCCAAGACACCAACTTTACACCAAAAAAATGACTTGAAAGATCAAAGATCAAAGCTTTCCGCAAAAAAAAAATCTGCAAACAGAAAACACAAGCTCCAACATCACAAACAAGGCGAAAATCCCACCAATTTCCCCCACCAAAAAAAAAAAAAAAAATCTCTGGCTCCACTCCTCGCTTCTCAGACTTAGAAATTGAGTGCGTAAAAGGAACGAAAAAGGAAGGAAAAAGAAACAAAAAAAAAAATCAAAATGCACCGTCCTTCAACATCCAGAAATGTCAAGAAATAGAGGAAGATAACCTAAACTTAAGATCACAAAAATCTGCAGATGCAAGAACGGAAGGTAGACGGCAAAATTCAAAGAGTAGAAAGCTCCAATTTACCAAACGGAAAAAGCTCAGAAATTTGTTGCTCTTGTTAGCGAGAAGAAGAAGAAGAAGAAGAAGAAGAAGATGGGTTCATGAAAAAGAGATCCAAAGATGAGTAGATAAAGGAAGAAGAAAAACTCTCTCACCACCAGCATGCCTCCATCTTCTTTATCAGATCCTTTGCTTTTACTACACACGCGCTCTCTCTCTCTCTCTCTCTCTACATTACCAGACTTTCTCTCTCTACTTTACTCTTAAAACAGATTCCTTACTGAGATACGGACTCCAAATCTTGTTAAATTCTAGTTTAACGACATTTAATTAGTAATTAAAAAATAGACAGCTGAATTTTTTTAATCGTAATTTGTGACTAGCTAATTTTTTATTTATGGTACAAGAAATATCTACAGTATTTTTTTATGGCAGAAATGTCTGTAGTGTTGATGACAATAATTAAGCACGTTAATATTATTAAAAAAATATTCTGTAATTAGATTTGTTTAATTTGTATTTTAATATATATTAAATATATTTTATTATAAATTTATATTAAAAAATAAAAATTAATTTTTAATTTATCAATTATTTAATTAAATTTATATAATATTAAAATTAATATTAATTTTATGTTTTTGGTATGTACCCCGATTTAGTCTCTGAACTAAAAAAATCTTTGATTTGGTCCCTAAACTATTATATAGATCCTAAATTTGGTCGATATTGTTTATCAATTTGCCTCAAGTTGATAATTTTGTACAAAAAAAACTGACGTATTCATTACTTAACAGTAAAAAATAATAACTTAATGATAAAAAAATAGTAACTTAATGACCGTGTGTCACGTTAATAACAAGACACGTCGGTTAGTTTTTTGTACGAAATGACTAATTTGAGATGAATTGGTAAATAATATGGATCAAATTGGAGTCTGTACAATAGTTTAGGGATTAAATTAAGGATTTTTTTAATTTAAGGAATAAATCAAAAATCCATATAATAATTTAAGGATCAAATTAAAAATTTAACTTATATTTTTTTATATACATTTATAATATTAAAGGCACAGAATAAAAAATGCATTGTAATTTATATGGGTATTAAATTATTTTATTTAAATTATTAAGTGAAAATAATTTATTAACACCGAAAGTTGTGATGCATTATGTTAGGAATTGTCCTTTTCGATTAGTCTTGTTTTAAAGTTTATCGGGTATCTCTTTAATAAATCTTATTTTATAAATTTTCACTAGTATCTTTCTAATTTGGAAAACTTTTAGTAGTAGAGTCTATGATCTTTAATCAATTGTTGTGAAGCCTTGTTGGCTTAGATAACAAAACTGAAAAATCTGGAAAATTATTGTACCTATGTATTCATGAAATATTGTCCAAAAGATTTACAAAATAAAAATTTATTTTTATAAATTAAATTATATCAAATTATAAAATATATATTTTTAAATAAAAGATAAGCTCTCCTACTCTTTTGTATAAGAGTTATTATTTAATAATTTAAATTATAAAATAATAAACTTATTACAAAATATAAATTTAAAAAAAAAAAATGTGGTATGTTTGTACAAAGCGATACCGAAGGGATTTAAATTTTGATTTTAGTTAATTAAATGAAGTAATAATGAACAAGAAGCTGGAGGAAATTACAGTTTTGTCAATGGCGGTTGACTTTTCCGTTCCGTAACTGGCTAACGGCCGTTACCAGAACAACAGTAACGGAGCATGTTATCCGATCAAGTCAGGAGTTCTAAACGATTTGTTTGTACAAATAGAAAGAGTTTTGTCTCTTTTAAATAAGATTTTAAATGTAAACATTATAAATGAACAAATAGACATTGAGAGAATCCTCTTGATATAATCCGAGACAACTTGATTTTAAATTAGTTAAATTTAGA